TTTTAAGTTTTATTTTTTATAATATTTTTTTATATTATTTTTTTTCCACATCATCAATTTTTGGTTACATTATCTTCCACGTGGATTATTACATGACATGTCATCCGGTAACCGTTAAGTAATAGGCCACGTCACACAATTTTTAAGGAAGGACTAAATCGGGGTAAAAATGGTAAACAGTAGGGACCAAATCAGGGATTTTTTTAGTTCAGGGACCAAATCGGGGTCCGTACAATAGTCCAGGGACCAAAAAGGGGTTTTAACCATTTTTAAATATCTAATAAAATTTTAAATTTATCAAAAACTAATTTACTTTTAAAATTAATATTTTTTAATTTTTACCAAACAAATACGTTTTAATCAAATCAAATAAAATTTGTGTGAACCTTAATATTTAGACGGTCACCTATACCCACATTTCTTTATTAAGGAGGTGACTTGGGAGGTATCTTTTACAAAATTTCAAAAGGTTGATGCCACTGTTGCACGTAACGCGTTTTTATTTGGACTGGAATTTTAGAAAGACTCGTTGACACAGCTGTAAGTCTGTAACTTTTTCCGCACGTTCCTAAGTCCGTGACGTGTCCGGAATGAGCTGATTAAGAATACTTTTAGTCTGGCCAAAAAGGGCAAATGAGCCCCTATACTCTTGGTTTGTTAGCAAATCAGCCCCTATACAAAAAATAGACGCTTTTAAACCCTTTAACTCTTTAACTCTTTAAATAGTTGGCAAACCAGCCTTTATGTGACTGATTACATCAGCAAGTCGTCAAACGTAACGGCGAGCTGGTTTTGGTGGTCCTCACCGCTGACTTGGCGATGAGCTGGGTTTCTAAGTTTTAAAAAATTAGAACTTATAAGAAATCATTCCATGTATGTTTACGTGATAAGTGTGTTGGATGTTTATATACGTGGCAAGCCACGTAAGTGATCCTCTAATTTTGTCTCACACAAATTATTTTATGTATCATTATCCTACATAAAACTCTTTTTACAAATTGTCCCTCCCAAAAATAAAGTTACATGTGTGGATGTTTACGTGGCAAGTGTGTTAAGTGTATATATATAGCCAAGTAAGTGGTCCTTCAATTTTGTCTTGCAGAAATCATTCCATGTATCATTATTCAAATAGTTTTTTTAAATTTGTGTTCTTAAAATGTAATTATTGCACATTTTTTATATTAATTAGTTTTGAAAAACTAAAAAAGAATCTTTATTTAAATAATTGTTCAATTAAAATGATTCATGTGGAACTTGTGATGAAATTAATAAAGTTTTAAAATGATTCATGTGGCAATCATGATGAAATTAATAAAGTTTTATATTTTTTAATACTAATTAATGTAAAAAAATATAATAATTACATCTTTAAGGATACATGTTAAAAAAACTCATATATAAATAGCAATTAATTTGTTTTGATAAAATGAAACTATTAAACAAAAACTACATATAGAAAGAAGAAAACTTTTAATTGTCATTTATACCGTTCTAATTGAGTATACTTATTTATTTTTAATTGAAAAAGAAGTTAGTGTTTAGCACTAACTTAGTAACTTTTCATATAGTATTTTTTAATTTTTTGTATGGTGCTTTTTTAATTACTTTTTCAGCAAAAACTTTCTTAGTAAAGAGACATTTTAATCAAACAGACTCTAAGGGTCTATTGGTTCGATGTTAAATTTTATGCAATGAACAAAGAGCTACTAAATTAATAAAAAAGTTGATATGAATAGTCAATATGAATAGAATTTTCAATTCAAGTGTTAAATTTTTAAAAATATTAATTAAAATATGATGTTTTTATTTTATGAAAGACATCTTGCAAACCATTTGTCTCTCTTTCACTCACACACATATATGTATGTATGTATATATATATATTATATAAACTTTTACACACTATATTTATACAAAATTTTAATCCATTATCTTTTCATTTTTAATGATTAAAATTATTTATATTTATTAAAAAAATTATTTTTTATCAAAAAATTGTGATCAATTTCAAATAAAGAAATAAATGATTAAGATTATAGAAGGCAAAAACGCTGGGTAAAAGAGTGTAATGGGCCAGCTAGGATGGATGGGCCTTTATTGGAAGAAAATCAAGAAATTGATAGATTAGGGTTGAAAGAACCGTCTAAGGACCGGATTTATGGCCTATTTTGTTTGGGCCTTTAACATGCTGCAATTGGTATTTTATTTTTGGTTAAATGTTAAATTTGGTCCCTCAACTTTAGTGAGTTACATATATTTGGTCCCTCAATAATTTTTTGTACTTTTTTGATTCTTCAATTCTAAGAAATACACACCATTAGTCATTCTGTCAATTTAGACCGTTAACTCCGCTATGTGGTATTTTTTATATTTTTTTTTGATGATATAATGAAAACAACTTAAAAAAATGTTAATATGGATTTTTTTTTATGACGCATCAATACCAACTCATAAACTAAATTTGATTAGTATTTATATTTTTAATAAAAAAATTAAAAAAATACAAATTTACCTTAATACCCCTATCTCCCTTTCTTGATCTATCTTCTTTCCCTCTTTCGATCCATCTTCTTCCTTTCTTTTTTCTTTTTCTTTCTTCCACTTCTTCCTCTGTGTTGCTAGGTTCCTTCAAACCCAGCTGATCTAGATTCAAGGGAACCCACCTCAAGTTTGATGGAACCCAGATCTGGGTTCCATCGAACCTGGATCTGGGTTCCATCAAACCCAGATTTGTTGGGTTCCACTGAACCCATATCTGCTGGGTTCCTTGAACCCAGCTCAGGTTTGACTGAACCCAACTCGGGTTTGATAGAACCTAGGCTGGGTTCCGTCGAACCTAGCTCCACTTTTTTTTTTTTTTGTTATATGTTTGTTTGTGAAGAGTTTATGCAAATTGCAGGTTGTGAGAAATTTTTGGGATTCTTTTCTTCATATTTCTTAAGTATTGTCTAAATG